GGGGAAGGATTGCATGGAGGGGATTGTAACCATGGCAATGAGACAATATATGATAGAATGAATGTAAAACTAATGTTCTCCCATGTAAACTATCACATAATTCACAATAAAACATTTAAGAAAAAAAAAAAAAATCAGTTGAGCTCCTGTACACTAACAGGGAAATCAAGAAAATATAACCATTTATTACAGCCCCCTAAATGATAAAATACCTAGGAATAAGCCTAGCCAGGGACATAATGGTGATGGTTATGTGCCGTGGAGTCGGTTCTGACTCATAGCAACCCTGTGCAGGGTTTTCGAGGCTGTAAATCTTTACGGGAGCAGAAAGCCTCATCTTTCTCCCATGGAACAGCTGGTAGTTTCAAACTGCTGACCTTCTGAAGTGCATTATAGAAAACTATAAAACACTATTCCAAGAAACTGTTGTTGTTAAGTGCCATTGAGTTGGTTTTTATTTGTAACAACCCTGTCTAAGGTTTCCAAGGAGCAGATGCTGGCCTTGAACCACCTGTCTTGAAGTTTAACCAACCTTGTGGTCCAGTGCTTATCCTACAGTGCCATACTAGATCTTCACAAATGAAAGGACATTCCATAGTCAAGGACTGAAAGACTTAATATGGTGAAAATGTCACTACTACCCAAAACCATACAATTCAATCTCAATTCAAATTCCAACATTCTTTACTGAAATGGAAAAAAAAAAAACGAATTGACTATACATAGAAATAAGCGAGGCCCTGGATAGCCAAGGCAATACTGAAGAACTATACATCTACAGTAATCAAATATTGGTTCAATGATAAACATAACCAAACATCTTAGGGGATTGGCTTTCTGAGTCTGAAGCTTAGGACCACAGTCTTTTAAGTTCTACATCCTAGTTTAGTATCTGTGGTCTTAAAGGCTTGTGAGAGGCCATCGGAGATACAATTGGTCTCTACTCATCCAGAGCAAAATACAAGAAAGAAACCAAAGACTCAGAGAAGAAGCTAGTCTACAAGACTAGTGATAGTCCACATGAACCATGGCCCCACCTATCCTAAGACCAGAGAACGAGATAGTAGTACCTGGCTATCATTACCAACAGTTCTGATCAGGGAAACACATAGAGACTCTGATAGAATGGGGGAAAATGTGGAACAGAACAGCAATTTAAAAAAAAAAAGACCAGATTTACTGAACTGGCTGAGCATACAGGACTCCCTGAGACTGTTACCCTGAGTTAGTTAAACCTTGAGCCCAAACTATCCCGAGGTCATCTTTTAGCTAAGTAATAGATTGGCTCATAAAATTGTTGAGTTTGGTGCTTCTTTAAAATATCATCTATGAGACCAAATGGTCAACAATTACTGCATAGCAAACATGAGAAGGTAAGGAGGCAGGGAAACTGGACTACTGAAAAATAGAACAACCAGAACAGAAATAATGTGAATAGTTTGTGGAAAAGGTAAGTAATGTCACTGAAAAATGTGTAGAAACTTTTGAATGGGATGTTAATCTGCTATGTAAATTTTCACTGAAAACATAGTGAAATATTTAAACCATAAAAGTGATACCACCTTTCTCTAAAAAAAATGTGACTACCTCTAATTTTTTATACTTGATTGCCTGTGCAATGTTCTTTTAATCATGCTGAGTACACATGCGTTTCACCTACTTCTAGTCTTGAGTTACAGGGGAGCCTCGAGACCACCACACTGAACAGAGAGGGCGAAAGGTCTGTAAGAGCAGACACAAGTCATGTGGAAGGGCTACAAAGGAAAGAAGAAGGTTTTGCACAGTGGCATGAGACACAGAAAGGAGATGGCAGCTTGATACAGTAAGTGGCATCTGGTGGTGTACTTCAAATAAAGCAATGAGATTTGTTTTTCTTTTTAATGAGAAATAAAATAAGCCAACTTTCAGAACTAGTCAGGACTTCATATAACACCTATTCCAGTACTGAAGACAAAGGTCCAGAAACAGTACATAAAAAGCAGGAATTAGAGTCTAGGTTTTCTGATTCTCAGTTCAGAGGTATAAATGCACAATAAGGAGTTCAGGAACTGTTGGTTATTGATGCTATCATTACTATGGGGGGAAAAAAGAACAATAACATTTATTCAATTCTAGAGCAATGTCAGCATGGTGGAATTTTGAGTTCTTTTTTATTTTGGCTATCTGGATTTTCTAAATTTTATACAATCAATATATGGCTTCTATGGTTTTAAAATGTTTTAATCCTCTAGAAACATAAATATGTTGATGCTATATTATATATACATATATATTTATGTATATGTTGTTGTTATGTGCCGTGGAGTTGGTTCCGACTCATAGCGACCCTGTACAGGGTTTCCAAGGCTGTAA